TGTGGAGTCCCCTTGTCTCCAAGCAGGAGCCCTCACTCCAGTGTCCCAGCCGGCCCTCCCTTCACCCACATTTGTCCCCACTCAGCATCCCCCTCTCTTCCCTCAGGACACGCCACAGAGCCGAGGAGGCTCAGTCTTCTCTGCTTGTGTTTCGTGAAGTGACATCCTCTCCCTGGCGGCAGGGACCAAAGTGCCCCCGTCTCGGGTTTGGGAGGATACTCGGTGGCCCTTTGACCCCATTCCAACGAAGGACCAGCAAATAAGCATCCCTCCCTCCCTCCTCCTGTGGGAAGCTCCTCAGCCTGCCCCCCAAACAATCACAGCCTTTTCCATGATGGCCTTTCTGTCACTTCAAAGTGTCTCTTCCCCAGGGATCAAAGCCGGGCTTCTAGTCACGGGGTACTTACCATCTTTGAATGTTAGGTAACATCACAAGGGATAACCCCTACTTTTAGGCCAGAGGTGAGAAGAAGATACACTTTCAGTAGAATGGAAATTGCCAGGGGCCAAGTGGAGGGTCACACAGAGCTCGGGTTTGGGATGAGGAGAAAGTTCTGGGGATGGCTGTATACGTGAAATGTTTCCGTTATGTGTATTTTACCATAATTTAAACAAACACAAAAAAAAGAAGACATACTTTCAAAAAAATGTTCCCAGCCCTAGCAAACTCTGCCATAATGGGAGGACAACACAATCTTAATTCCCCAGAACAACTGGGGTCATAAGTCTTGCTGTTTACTATGTGCAGTAATATTCTAGGCAGAATATCACCAGCAAGTTGATGAAAGTATGCCTAAAATTCTTTCCCACCTGCTTTGCTTTGTGTAGCTATTGGGGAGGTGGCTAATGCTGCGGGTTGACTGATTAAGGCAGCAGTGGGGGGCAGATACGAAAGAACATCCTCAGAATGAGATATTTAGGAATTCATGGGAAAAAAGTGAGAGCCATGCAGTTATCATTTCTCGAGAATTACATTCTGCCTTGGGTCTTCATCTTCTCATCAAAACACAAAAATGAAAAGAATATGGTAAATTTGCAGAGGGTCGGAAGGAGACCCACAGGGGGTGATTGAAGAGTTGATAAATACGGTGTGTGAACCGAAGTCAAAGAGTGGAAACGCCTGCTATTTTAGGATGACTTAAAAGAGAGCTTCACATATGCAGTAGCTGTTGTGGTGACCAAGGGACAAGAGCGTGGGTTGTTAAGTGAAAAACAAAATATGGCCCGCCTCCCCTGCTCTAGGATGTTTGCACAATGCAGAACCTTTCCTCAGTTGTGGTCAGCACAATTTTTTAGAGCTTCATAAAGGCCAAATTAGTAGTACAGATTAAAAAATAAAAGGAAATAAGTCTGAAGACAACTGCCAAAGGAATTTTCAAGAAGAAACACGCACAAAAGAATTTACAGGATTTAAAATTGAAGCCGAAAAGGCTAAAAGTTGTAAAAACAAACAAACCAACGAAAACCAACCAACAAACAAAAACACCGGCCACGCACAAAAAGAGAAGCTGATTCTTTATGTCGAGGGGATCAACAAAAGGAAGTCTGGATAAAAGAAGACTGGGAATTTTGGCTGGTACACCAAAGACCTCAGCTGTCAGGTTGGCCAATAGGAGGGACTTCACCGGGAGGCTCTGGAAGTCTTCCCTTCAGGGTTGAAAACGTAAGGCAGAGTGTTGTGTGGCCTGAGATTGGGTGGGCGTGCAAAGCCTTTTGTTTCTGGCACAGATCAGCAGCCCTACGTTCAGGAGACTGGGAGACCTGCTCAGGGTGACCAGGAATTCTGATTAGGACCAAACATTGCAGGAGGAGGAGAAACTGATCTCGAGAGAGGATGGGTTGAGGGGGGAAACTTGTTTCCCTGGGAAGCGTGGGTGGTATTCTGGCCTCTTTGGTGTAACTGACATGCCACCCCAGTTTTACCAGTTTGGGGGGGAGCTCTGTCCCAGACAAAGGACCGGGCTGGCAGCCTGAAACCATTATTACTGTTGACTTCTGGAATGGGGGAGATCTCTATCAGACGTCTCTCTACAGTTAGAAATTTCGAGAGAGTGGCTGTTATATTATCTGGTACTTAATAAATTCCTAAACCATCTAAAACTTCTGTTTTGGAAAGCTATCCTGGAAACCTTGCATTGGGCTGCCGCGTGCAACTCAGAGCACGTCACCCACGTCCAAGAAGCCTTGTCAGTCTGCAGCCTTTCGGGGGGAGATGGCAGCGGCCAGACTGAGGGCCCTCTCACAGTGGGAAGCCGTGCCTTGCTTCACAGGATTGGGCACTTCTGCTAATTCGCGGTAATAGTCATTCTTCACATGAAGACAGACTACACTTGAGGTTTTTTGAAAGCGTGATGCGATTGCGGAGGGCCTCCCGGCATTCACATCTGGGACGCTTGCTTCGTCTTCCTAACCCGTAGCTTTATTACTTTAGTTGCTGCTTATCGTAGGTACGAAACTCAGTTTGATTAAAAAGAGGAAGATACCTCCAGGACGATAGGGGTTAGCTGGTTTGGCACAGCTGACTTGTGAGATGAGTTGGTTCCCATGTGCCTCCAGCTGCGTGACCGTCACCTTGTGTCCATACAAGACTCGTATTGGCACGGCTAACCCTGCTTACCTTTCCCGTGGGGAGTGGTCAAGGAGTCCAAAATATCATTCACGCAGCCTGGTGCCTGAAAGTCCACCACTAGACAGTCATTTCTTTTTGTACCCTTGGATTCCTCTTTCTGAAGCTTCTCATTAAAAATGCAAATAGAGGGGCGCCTGGGTGGCGCAGTCGGTTAAGCGTCCGACTTCAGCCAGGTCACGATCTCGCAGTCCGTGAGTTCGAGCCCGTGAGTTCGAGCCCCGCGTCGGGCTCTGGGCTGATGGCTCGGAGCCTGGAGCCTGTTTCCGATTCTGTGTCTCCCTCTCTCTCTGCCCCTCCCCCGTTCATGCTCTGTCTCTCTCTGTCCCAAAAATAAATAAAACGTTGAAAAAAAAAATTTAAAAAAAAATGCAAATAGATTGGGGCCCCTGGGTGGCTCGGTCAGTTAAGCGTCTGACTTTGACCCAGGTCATGATCTCAGGGTTCGTGGGTTCGAACCCCATATTGGGCTGTGTGCTGACAGCTCGGAGCCTGGAGCCTGCTTCGGATTCTGTGTCTCCCTCTCTCTACCCCTCCCCTGCTCGCGCTCTGTCTCTGTCTCTGTCAAAAATAAACATTACAAATTTTTTTTTAAATAATAAAAAAAATAAAAATGCAAATGGGGCACCTGGATGGCTCAGTCGGTTGAGCATCCGACTTCGGCTCAGGTCATGATCTCACGGCTCGTGAGTTCGAGCCCCGCGTCGGGCTCTGTGCTGACAGCTCAGGGCCTGGAGCCTGCTTCAGGTCCTGTGTCTCTCTCTCTGCCCCTCCCTTGCTTGCACTCTGTCTCTCTCTGTCCCTCAAAAATTAATAAATGTTAAAAAAAATTTTTAGATAAAAACACAAATAGACCTAGGACCTTATGTGAGTTAATACACGACAAAGGATGGGTGACCTGATATGTCGACTTTCGTCTATAGCAGAGGCCGGTGATATCAGCAGAAACCTGTAAACTGAGAAGCATACACTCAGGCATTCAAGTCTTCACTGGCTGAGCACCCACCGTGTGGCTCACACTGTGCTAAGTGGCATCGTTGCCGGCTCCAGGAGCATAGGCTGACAGGAGAGCAGACCTACACGGACAGTGCCGGACAGAAGGACGGACATGGGATGGGGCAGAATTGCTGAAGGATGTGACTGTGATTCTGGGCTGGCTTTTGCAAGGTGACAGAGCCTGCCAGCCGGGGAGTCGTGGGACGGGGTCTCGTCAGTTTGTTTTCTCTGAGCTCCTTCTGACCCCTGATGGAATGTCCAGGCATCCTCATCAGAAGGCCACGGGGTCGCAGGGTAAAAGGACCCTGAGGGTCTGCCTGCGGGTCCCCAGAAGGTCCCCAGAGCGAGACCTGTGCCCAGAGCCTGGAGTGTTCTCCCAGGCTCCCCAGGGCCATTGTGTGCAGGTCGGTCAAAGAAAAAGGGGAGAAGCCTTAAGAAAAACTCAGCCAACCTGATCGTTTTGCCTCAGGGAGGCCTTGCCCTCAGGCCAGCGTTCAGAGCATTTACCCAGTACCTTTGTGGAAGGCATTAAAATGAAACACCTAGATACTCGTTTTATTTTGATCTAAAACCACCTGCCTCCATTTGAGGATAATGACATAGATTTTTGTTGTGCTCATAATGCCCCCTTACGTTATTCCTTTCCTCAACTCTGGAATCTTCTTTCCATGGTTCAGAGCACAGATTCTGGAGCCAGACCTGCCTGGGTTCACATCCCGGCTCAGCCACAAATTACTCACCCCCTCCCTGCCCCAGGTGCCGATGGGGACGGTTATGGTTCCTACTCCATGGAGACGTTGTGAGTCTTCTGTGAGGTGTTCACGAAAGGTTTACAAGAAGGTGATTTAATAAATGTTGAGTGTGTTCAGTAAACGTTGGCTAATGTTACCCACTTCCTGCAGAGCACCTGCCCTGAGACTGTTGGAATCAGAACACAGAAGAAGCACCGTCTCACCCAGCGAGGCAATCAGAATTGATCAAACGTTCCATGAGGGCCAGCCACCGGCCAGTGTGTCTGTGCCAAATGCTGGGAATACAAAACCCACTACCGCGTGCCCCCACCCTCAGGAACCCACAGCGCAGGGAGAAAACGAGACCATGTCTACACCTCCCTGCTGACAAATCCAGTCGTTTGCATGGTGCTGGCCAGGAATAGCCCTCTCAGCCCCAGCAGGTCCCCGCACAGACATTTCCCACACGTAATAAAGTGCCGATCAGGAACCCCTGCTCGCTGATTGAATTCTTCACTGGTACCTTAGCAGACTGGGTCCTCTAATGACAATATATGAGCTAGAGGGGAAACGGAGTCTAAGTGGGCTTCGCTGTCCTCCAGAAGTGATGGGTCGTAACCAGCTCTATGTTTGTGTGCATGTGTTAGGTTTGGAGGAGACCAGCCCGTCTACATCAACATCATTAGAGACCCCGTCAACCGGTTTTTATCTAACTATTTTTTCCGTCGATTTGGAGACTGGAGAGGGGAACAGAACCACATGATCCGCACCCCCAGCATGAGGCAGGAGGAACGCTACCTGGTAAGTCCTGTAGCATCTAAGAGTGGCCCACCCCGCCCTGAGCGAGCCCCTGGAGGCCGGGGAGCTCTCCCTCCCCACCCTGGCTGTCCCGTGGCACTTCTGTGGCACCTTCCTCAGGGAGGAAGTTTTTGCCCATGAAAAGCTGATTGTCCCAGATGACCCAGATCCTGATGAACATCTCAAATGACTTTCTGGCCTGGTTTTTCTTGGTTTGTCTTTTGCACTAAATCCCAGGGGAATCCCTAGGGAAACCTGATGGGTGTTACTGTCATTTAGATGTGTTTGGGATCTCTCTTGAAGGGCACAACATGCTTCCCGTGGCAGTCCTATGAGAGAGGGGTGTTTTCAGATGAGACCCTGTGGTTCCTTAAAGGATGTGGGCACAACCGTGACTGTTTACAGGTCGTCCAGCGTCAAGTCCGGGTTCTTGCCCATCAGAGCAAGAATTAGGCTCTGTCTCGGCAAAAATTAGACAGAATTAGGCTGTCTCGGCAAAAACTGTCTGCTCTTTCTGGACCTTGTTTGGGGACCCTCAGCTCCATGGGGATGTTAATTGTGACCCCAGTAATTGTTTCCATAGGGCAGAGTTGGGAACAAAAAGGGAGGGCCAGCAACAGAGTTAGAGTGCATTTGTCACCTGTTTGTGACCTAGATCAACAAAAGCTTGTCGGGCAGCCAAGATCTGGTGGTAAAGAAGGGGAAATCCTGGTCTGTGTGTCTCAGGGAGCCTGTTGGGGTCACCCAGACCCATCCTGGGCCGTTGGGCACAGAAGAAGGAGAAGAGAGTAATGAGGGGTCAGTACAAGTCTGTTCCCAGGGGGGGGAGAGTGACCCAGAGCCTGTGCCCCTGCTGTCAAAGCCACAGAGCATCCTTAGAGCTGAAGTGCCACTACCCACAATTCCAGCCAATGCCCAAGCTTCTCTTTCCTCATTTAATTTTTAAAAGTGTAATGAAAGTTCGTGTTTGGAGGATGGGAGTATTTTGCGTGATGTCACTTTCACGTGTTACAATCCACAAGCAGAGTTGAGAAAATGGAGTTGTATCTTATCGTGGCGTGAAGCAACGCGTTCATAGATGGGCCAAGACCAGAAACTAAGCCCGGTTGCCATTCAGGATTTACTCAACCACCTAATGCTTTAGTGAAATAGTCTTAAAATGGATTTTACTTAAAAAAAAAAAAAATTTGGTGGCAGAAACTCTCATCTTTTCCTTGAAACTACATGTTATGACCATGGCTATATATTTTTTATTCGGTGACAAGTACATCTTCAGAGGATAGAACCACTTACTAGCGATGCAGGCGGGCCGGGTCTGAGGACCCAGAGTGGGGGACAGTCCCACAGAATCAGCCAGGAGGCTCCTTGGCTTCGCACAGGATGGAAATCATACACAACCCAGCAGGAGGCAAAAGCAGGGTTGACCGAAGATACATACCGAAAGAGATAGAGATGGAGTGTCCAGGAGATTTGGAAAGGAGAAGAGGGAGTCTGGCCTTTGCTTGGGATCTGCGGTGTTTATTGGTGATTAGGGTCGGGTGTGTGTCCTCTCAAACATACAGGAGCGGGTCAGAACAAGACAGGGTCCACACGTCCTTCATAAGTTGCTCGTTCCCTGAAGCCAGGGGTCGTGGCGTGCAGATATCTAGTGTCTCTGGTCTGGAACAGGCACATGATACCTCTGCCCGGTCATTCCTTAGATATCATCTGTTGTGCTGGAAAACTCCAAAGATATCATTATCTCTTTATCCCTTAGAAAGGGGGCATACGTTAAGGTAAGGCATGTGCAGGGTAGGGTGCAGATCCCAGCAAGAAGAGAGGCAGGAAAAGAAGCCAAGGGGAGAAAGAAACAGCCTTTGCTTTCATGGGGTCTCTTTGATTTCCCGGTCTCATTAGAGGACTAATGTCTATTTGGATTATTGTGGTTTGCATTGGCTCTTGGTTACCATTTATATGTTCTTTTGAAAATGATGGGGCATATTCAATTTAATCAAAGAATATTACGGTTCCTGACCCGATCCTGATACTAAGAAAGTTAGAACCAAGTTATAGCTGATGATCTTGAAACACCAAAGATCTGGAAATGAGTTTTATGAATCCCGCTCTTCCAACGTTAATGTAGGTAATAGCTAAAGTCGCAGTCCGTCAGAAGGTGAAAAGTGATTTTGGAAAAACATGGAAGTGGAGGGGCAGCCTTGGGGATCCAGAATGCCAGAGGGGGCGGGGACTGGCTGGGATGTCAGTGAGGGGGTGAGGAAGACAGTGAGGACGTGGCATCGGAGGGACTGTCAGAGTAGAAGATGGAAGTCGGTAAGTTGGTCAGCGAGGGGAACACAGCTCCACCTGGAGGGGCATCTGGACAAAGGCCTACAGTGGGCACGCGTGTGGTTCATTCAGAGATCAGCGGGGAGAACAGTGTGGCTGGTGGAGAGTGGGGCGTGGGGACAGGAAAGTGGTAGGAGGAAAATTCGGAGAGGTAAGGGTGGGAGAGAACAGATCGTAGAAAGCCCCATGAGTGACACCAGTTTCTCTAAGTGAGCTGGGAAGTAACACGAATGACCCCAAGTCAAACCCACCTTCCTCAGTGCTCTTTCTCTGGAGTCTCCATGGGAAAGCTGAGCCCTTCTCCCAGCGGGGATGTGTCATACCATCAGCCTGCAAACACCCTCAGCAGGCTTCTCCCGCTTTTCTAGGAGTCAGGGCCTCCCTCCTGCGCTAGACCTGTATCTGGCCAATCCCTGCAAGTCTCACAGGCTCTTCCCACTCAAAGTTTCCACAGAGCTCTATTGAGAATGGAGTTTGTGGGATGGTGACCCCCCCAGTTAGGCAGTGCACAGGCTATACAGCTGTACAGGGAGGCCTTGATGTTCTTCCTCTGTGCTCTCAGAAAGTTCCGTGCTGGTGATACCATTTCTCTGGGTGATATAATGTCTTAACTTCTGCCCTCCAACAGCCTATAAGCTCTTTGAGGACCAGATAGGATCAAAGTTCCATCTCTGTCCCCGGCACACAGAAGAGGGGCTGAAATACTGGAGGCCTAAATAGCATTCTACTTACTAAATAACAAACACATATTGATATGGAAGCTGAGAGCAATTCTCTAGGTTTTTCTACCCTGTCACGTTTTTGCCATCCTGTGAATCATTGCACATAACGTAGTCTGCACGTATTCACACGGTTAAGTTGTAATCATTTGCCAGAGAGGTTGTAAACAGGAGAGAAAAAAAAAATCATGGTTTAGATTTAAAAAAAAACAAACAAACCCATAAAGTGTTGAAAGTTGGTAGTCGAAGCAAATCTTATGCTGCCTTTATGGTGTGATTTGAGAGATTCTGGGGAACTTTCCCCGCCTGGAATTCTACCCTTAGAGATTTGCAGGGGCCTCCTTTCCAAATGGAAGCTCTGTGTCCTGGGAAGGGCCTGTGTCCGATGAGCTCATGTCATTCCTTGGCAGGGCCCCAGCAGGAGAGCACTGGGCTCCCCAAAGCAGCAGAGGGAGAAATCAGGGTAGCAAGGAATAGAAAGGGGGCCCCACGGGACATGTGACTCCTTCGTGACCTGGCCCCAGCCTGACCCAGTAAGAAGACTCTTTTCTTGTTCAAAGGATAGTTTGTTTATTTGGAAGAAGATGGTCTATCCCCCCCCCCTTTTTTTTAATAGCTGAAACTTTTCATTTCATCTCCTTGGACCCTTTAAACCCTTGAAATAAAACTGTCCCCTTTCAGAGCCTGCCCTCATTTTGGCAAGCCTGGGTGGTCAGTTGTTTGACTCAAAAGAGGGTGTTGTGTCTCAGTGGGGTGTAGGGCAGCTGTGAGGAGACCGCTGGCCCTGGAGGGGACGCACAGGGTGCCCCCACACCCGAGAAGGAGGCAGGCGTGGCCGTGTGATGAGGCCTCTCCCCGAACACTGCACGCACGCGGAGTCACGAGAGCTGGCCCCAAATGGGTCCACTGATGTACCCACATTATTCCAGATCTCAGCACTCCAAAGTCACTTGCTTTATCCAGTTGCCAAAACTCAGGCAGTTCTGCCCCTGGCCCCGAGCCTCACAGAGCTGCTTAGCATACAGCTGAGAGAGGGCCAGGGCCTCTGAGCCTGCCCCGGTTGGGGGGGGGGGGAGGGTGAAATAATATCATCTTGTGATGCTGGTTTGGAAGAAAATGGAAAAGGGTAAAGGGATCATAGGATTTGCAGGGTCCCTGGAGGTCATGGGGAGACTCTTGTTTCACAGGGGGTAGGAACGGGGTGTGGGTCTGAGAGTGGGTCGGAGGCCCCACCAGAAGGAGAAGCCGGGCCCCCAACTCCCCAATTGTATCATTTGATCATTTGGACCTTATGTTTTACTTCCTGCATGTTAAAGGAAGAAGAGGACTGGGCTGGGCCAAGTTCTGTGCTTTCTGAGCAAAATCATTTTGTCTGACGCATCTTTACAAAGACAACAGCTGTTATAACCTTTTCTTTCTTCCCAAATTTTCTAGCATCTTATAGCTACTTCCCATATTTTCTGGAAGCAGTTAGATTTTCTAGAAGTTTCTATGTCTTTCCAAACCATGTTTCCCTTGTATTCACACACACAAAAATAATTTTAAAATAACTTCTTGCTTGGGGCACCTGGGTGGCTCAGTCGGTTGGGCGTCCGACTTCGGCTCAGGTCATGATCTCGCGGTCCGTGAGTTCGAGCCCCGCGTCGGGCTCTGTGCTGACAGCTCAGAGCCTGGAGCCTGCTTCCGATTCTGTGTCTCCCTCTCTCTGGCCCTCCCCTGCTCACTCTCTGTCTCACTCTCTCTTTCAAAAATAAATGAACGTTAAAAAAATGTTCTTGCTAGAACGGATACAAATTCAACATAGAGCAGCCACGCCGTGAAAAGGCCGTTCCCTTCGGCTCATATCTCTTTGGCCAGACCCAGACACTGGGCCGCCCAACACACAGGTTCCTCCTTTCTCTTTTGCTTTTAGACTCATAAGGTGGGACAGAGCTGAGCCCAGGCACACTTGGATACATC